AAATATAAACTCTCCCACTCTGTTAAAAACGTCCTGTGTTCATCTTCATATTTTCGTTTTGCTGTGCATTTTTTCCCTGCCATTTTCAGAGCGAACTTGGCTTGTTTCACACAAATTGTTTACTCAACAATAAGGCCCTCCCTCCTTCGAAGCTGATTGGTTCGCAGGCATTTTTGTGATTGGCTCGCAGGCTACATCAAAATTAGACATGTTGTCATGCCCTCATACTGACGGGCAAGGGCAATTTTTAACACAAACACAATGGATGGGCCTAACGTTACAACAACAAAAAAGAACACACAAAATTCTATATGAACTGAGGAGCCGCATGAGACTGGGCAAAGAGCCGCATGCGGCTTGGGAGCCGCGGGTTGGCCAGGCCTGGGCTAAAGTGTCTGCCCGCGACCACTGCGATCTCCGTGCACGTAATTAAACGGCTGCATTATGTTCTCTGTTCATCATTTTGTTGTTCTCCTCTCTTTTGTGAATGTTGTCATTCCATTGGATTACACATTGATATAAAGGCTAATAATCTCAGCGGACTCTGTTGCTATGGCCGCTACTTCCGCGCTGTTTATTTACATCACGTCTGACGTTGGGAAATCCCCCCGCGCCCCCTCCCCTCTGACAGGGAAAGTCCCCCGCTGTGAGGAGCATATGTGAACGGCTAGGTCGGGAGAATCTCCGGAGAAGTCCTCCTGTAAATATCTAGATATTATCCGGAGTGCATATGTGAAAACGGCTATAGTGAGTCGTTTGGAAGGGGGAAAGTTAGAAACGACTCGGGAGCAACCTGATGATCAAATCGTTAACGTTCCTGTAAAGCACTAAATAGAGGATTAGATAATAGATGATGAATACAAAGAGAACAGTCGCTGCGATATTGTATTCATGGATCCTTGTGTGATAATCCACTCAAATCAAAACTTTCGAAAGTATTCTGGTGATATAACAAAATATCTTTGATAAGTTACTTTGGCAGCCTAGACTGCATCAACATGTCAAAAACAAAGTGGTCATGTGGGGAGAGGGAGAGAGAGTGATATGCCATTAAAACTGAGAAATCACTGGTGGCGCAGTGGCACAGTGGTTAGTGCGCGCATCCCATGTATGGAGGCTGTCGTCTCAAGCGGGTGGCCGGGGTTCACTTCCCACCTGTGGCCTCCTTCCAGCATGTCATTCCCCTCTCTCTCTCCCTGATTTCCGACTCTATCCACTGTCTTATCTCTCCATTAAAGGCACAAAAAGCCCAAAAATAAATCTTAAAAAAAACTGAGAAATCACGTTACATGTTATTTGGGTTATGCAACTCTTACAATATTGCTCTTGTCATGCATCAGGAAAAAATGCAGCAGGTATTCTTATACAAATATTTGCGTAATACGATAAGCTTTTTATTCTTAAAAGAATATCTTGAACGTGCCTGCAAAAAGCCAAAGCAAAAAACATACTTTGGTGAGCAGTTACTTTTATGAATTGACATTTTCTGCAATACTGCAATACAACATGTCACATTTCTGTCCAATACTTAACAGTCAAGCCTGCTCCCTATATTATACATTTGTTCAAAGACTGTAGATCCAAACAGCCTGATAAAAATGGCATCCTTCGGCAACCTGTTCTTTTACGTCATTTACAAACTGGTACCATCCAACTAGAAATACAGTATTCTACAAACAACTTTCCACTATTTCATAAGGTTATGATGAAGCACTCATTTTCTACTCATAGTCTACCTGTTAATCTTAAAATTAAGCCCTACATGGAGTTTAAATCTAGATCAAAATGTGGTGACAGGCTTTGAATACAGACTTCTGACATTAATGATTGAGTTTTCTGTGATGGTGCAAATGGAGTTGTTGTGTTCAAAGAGACATTTTCTTTGATAAAAAAATACTTATATTTTTTCACTATCATCACTCAGAATAACCACCACTTTCTTAAAGTTTCTGATTGGCTAAGTCAGCCAAGTAGTGACATTACCTGGTAACACCTCGTTAATTACTGATCACTTGCCATTCGTTATATTTCTTGTGCATCGTACATGTACAGCTACATGCTAAGAGTGAATTAAGTAATACAGGGGCGCTGACAGTGATCAGCTGACGATCGAAATTCACATGACATTAATTTCAATTTAATGCAAATGCTGCAAAAAAAAAAAAGTAAGCCGACTGCAGTTTGTACAGAACAACGCGGCATGCCTGGCTCTACACAATTTCCATATAGCACTAACAAGTTGATGACAAGATGACATCTTCGCTTCCTACTTGCAACATGGAAATTATTGCAATTCAAAACATCTTTATAACAATACAGTCAGTTAAAACAGAATTTAGAATCACATGCATATGCCACCAGACAAGCAACAGCAGGCCGGTTTTATCTACCCAAAGCAAACACCAACTTCCTTCAACGTACAGTATTATGCAGAGCAATGAAAACATGGAATTCTTTACCATTGCTATTGACTAAATTAACACAACAATCGATTTTTAAAAAGAAAACAAAAAAACACCTCAGGGCATCATATCTACAAGATATGCACAAAGGTGTTGGTCATTACTTCGCTTATTTTAACCTCTTGTGTTTGACATTATTATAGTTGACAAGAATTGATTGTTATGACTTTTGTATTGTATTTTCTAAAAATGTATTGTGTAAACTAGTTTTGTAATGTCCTCTTCTAAATGTGATGGTTTGTGTGGACTATTGTCCTTAATTATTTTTTTCAACTGTACATTTTATATTCATGTCAATGGTTTAATGTGAACCCCAGGAATAGCTGATGGGGATCCTTACAAATAAACAAATAAATAAATAAATGCTTAAGTGTATCCTGATAAACTACTGTAAAGCTCGGGTTACAGTTTAGCAGCTCTTCCATTCAATATTTTGTGCCAAGCTAAAGAAGATCTTTCATATTTCCTTACTGACAGACAGTGAATCATACAGTACAATATGTGCGTTGCAGGTGTTACAAATGTCACTATATTTATGCTGAATAAACTTGAGTTTTCAACAGTCATCAACATATTACAATGTTGAAATCACATCAAACTAAAAACATGACGATATTCAATTCCTGGAAAGCAAGATTTTCTTAAAGGTTTTGAATTTGTAACTCAGCATCAGGAATGTGCCAGAGCTGCAGAGAGTACGAGCTGGAACAGTTAATAACTAAACGGTCATAAATTTGTTGAAAGACTGAACACTTTCCCTCAATTGTCTTCGATGCTGCTTAAAAACACGGAGATGTCCTGTGTTGCAATGGCACAATTAGTCACAACTGAATGTGCTGGGCTGTGGTAGTCGAGTATTACACAAGTCACATTTGTTGGTATAGGAACACTCACTTATTATCCTTCAAAATTATCATGTTTCAATGTGACCCCGCTTAAACATTAATAACGACCAAAGGTAAAATGAAACATTAAAGCGGCCTGGCGGCTGTTTGCCAGCAATCCCCCACCCTCCTTTTGAATTGAGAGCCAGGTGCAACAGGCAGCTCATTTCCCAAAGTTGATGTTTTACCCATAGACTGTAAAAATGATGGACGGGACAAGCTCCCCGGTGGAGTGAAGCTTTTATTTTTAAAGCTCCCACTGCTGACTGGCTGCAGTATAGGTCATAAACCTCCTCAATGATAACAGATGGGATGTGGGTCAAACTGTGAAGTTAAAATACTCCAACAGCAGAGAGTAAATGCCATAGTCATGGGGGGGCCTCGTCATCACATAAGTTTGTTTGGGTTTTAGAGTCAAAAGTGACACAAATCTTAAACAGAGGTTGTAGCTGTGACGTCATTATAAGGCGTTAAAAACTGTACAACCTGCAGTTAAAGTTATTTGAGGTTGAAAAACGGGATATGGAATATGTCAGACTAGCTGCTTTGCCTAAATGAAGATACAAAAAACAATTGATTTACTGTTCACTTAAATATATTAGAAAAACAGACATGAATTACATTGCAAACTATCAGTTTCTAACAAAATACAACATATCTTACCACCTGTAGTCTACGGTTTGTGGTGCTAACCTAGCTTAAATATAGCTTAAATATAGAACGATTTCGGCAAAAACAGAGGACCCAGCAGCCCACGGACCCTACTGCGCAGACTCTGGCTCCAACATCGCAAGATGGAAGTGCCCGTAAGTGGCGTATTTTGACTCCAAGAACGTTGAGTGGGAACAGCTACAGTGCGCACCCACTGGTTTTTACCATGCTCTTAAACACATGTAATTATTATTTAACAAACATGATTTTATTCAACAGGTAGATGTTGCTCCGACTTGAAATGCCTCCCATTTTTTTAGACTAAATTACCCCTGGAATTAAAACAAATACGAAGAAATGCTGCATTTTAAATGTGTTGTTTTTGTTTTCTTTTTTGTATCACTGTTTCTTTGGAAAAACAGTGAGAAAGCATGTGAGGTGGCATTTGGGTGGTCTTTCTTGTAAAAGCTTGAGTTCTTCTGTCGGGAAGGAGTGAGACCTCAAATAAGTGTTTGGGAGTAGTCTGCCTCCTCTCTGACTCTCCTTTATGTGCTGTCAGTCATCCATGGTGTGATTAAGTCCATTAGAGTCATAGACATAAGTGTGCAAAGTTAAAAATAAATACACATTTATAGCTGAATCACAAACACAAATTGGGCAATCTAACTTTTGCAATTCGACTGGTTTTAAAGAAGGATTATTTTCTAGAATAAAACTCAAAGAGAAGGGCTGCAGTTAAACTTGATTCTAACACGGAAGGAAACTTTTCCTTCAGACACGGCTATTTCTGATCCCAGTTGTGTACTATTAACAGAAGTCCAAAGACCAGCTCCCAGTGCACAGGGAGGTACTGGGAGAGGGGCCGGAGGACAGGGAGAGGAGGAGGGGGGTGAGGGAGCAGAGGGAGGGAAGCAAGAGACGACTCTTTTGGATTTCTCATTAATTCAGTGTGGCCCTCTCTTTCAGTTTTTTTAAGCCCGCCCACTGACCATTATCAGCCGGAGCCTTATATATGCTGCCTGTCGCTGTTGTTTGTGAGTACACACACTTTCCACAGCTCAAACCTACAACCCCACTGCCAGCAACATGAGGGAGTTCAAGAGCAAGGATTTCTGGAGGGCCGTCCTGGCTGAACTGGTTGGCATGACCCTTTTTATTTTCCTCAGCTTGGCCACAGCTATTGGGAACAGCAACAACAAAATGCCAGACCAGGAGGTGAAGGTGGCTCTGGGCTTCGGACTGGCCATCGCCACACTTGCTCAAAGTTTAGGCCACATCAGCGGGGCCCACCTGAATCCTGCAGTCACCCTCGGGATGCTCGCCAGCTGCCAGATCAGCGTGTTCAAGGCTGTCATGTACATCATAGCCCAGATGCTAGGTTCTGCTCTGGCCAGTGGCCACTAACACCTCCAGTCTGGTTAAGAAGGCTCATCAACGCCTCTTTTTCCTGAGGACACTGAAGAGACACCACCTGTCTTCAGCTGTACTGATGAACTTCTACCGCTGTGTGATCGAGAGCATCCTGACCAGCAGTGTCTCAGTCTGGTACGGAAACTGCTCTGTCGCAGACCGTAAGGCGCTACAGCGGGTGGTAAAAACCGCCCAGCGCATCACAAGGTGTCCACTTCCGGCCATTGAGGATGTCCAAAGAACACGCTGTCTGCGGCGAGCTCACGGCATTCTTAAAGACTCCTCCCACCCTGCCCACAGACTGTTTACCCTCCTGCCCTCCGGCAGGCGCTTCAGAAGCCTCCGGACCAGAACCAACAGACTGAGAAACAGCTTTTTCCCAAGAGCTGTTTCTCTACTGAACTCTACCCCCCGAACTCTGAACTCTGTCTCTCTCTCTCTCTCCCTCTCTCTCTCCGCACCCTGCTGACCCCCCTTTCCCCTCCATATCACCTCACTCCCCGAACTCTGTATTCTGTCTCTCTCTCTCCCTGTATTCGAACTCTGTATTCTGTCTCTCTCTCTCTCTCTCCCTCTCTCTCTCCGCACCCTGCTGACCCCCCTTTCCCCTCCATATCACCTCACACCCATCATCCCCCCACCTCTCCTCCTGGTCACACACACACATCTCTCATCCATCTGTATTATTGTATTATAGTACGTTCATATTCTGTAAATTATCTGTAAACTGTATAACATGCTCACTGCATCTTAATCTGTAAATTATTAGTATAGCATGCTCACTGCATCTTAATCTGTACATTATTAGTATAGCATGCTCACTGCATCTTAATCTGTATATTATTAGTATAGATGCTCACTGCATCTTAATCTGTATATTATAATCCTAAGAACACACTTATTTTGTAGCATTACTTATTTATAGCATTTATTTATTTTTATTGCATCCCATTAATCCAGCCATCCAGATATACCTCATAATTCACTTTTTTTTGGCTACATCTGTAAATTTTGCAATTACTGTACATAGCACAGAATCACTGTACATAGCACAGAATTACTGTACATAGCACAGACTCTTGCACTCAATTACTGTACATAGCACAGACTCTTGCACTTTCTGCTTATTTGCACTTCTGGTGAGATGCCAAACCTCATTTCGTTACGCTATACCTGTATATGTGTAATGACAATAAAGTTGAATCTCATCTCATCTCATCTCATCATCTCATTATGTTTGGAGCACGTCCAGACACCAATAAATCACTTGGGCTGAATTCTGTGAGTATACCTTTTCATTTCACTTTTTTTGACAGAACATGTGATGATCTGAGCTTTAAAACATCCTAAGAAACAAGAATCCCTGCAATGTGATGCATTCAGTATTTAAAGCCCCTTTGTGGTCTAAAGTTTACCTCAAACTTTGGGATTTACAAGGATTTAGACCCTAAGTTTGGCTGTGTTTGCTTTGTTCTTTGAACATTTTTGCTATGGCTGAATATTGAAAAGTGATGACACATTAATTTAGCACACCACACAGCAACAGCTGAGAGAATCTGCAAATAAAAACATGCAATGTCAACTTTTTGAGATTTTTCCACAGCTGTTTTGGCAAGTTCTACCCCCTCCCCAAACAAAGCAACACTTTTCTTAAATGAAATGTAATGAGTAACATCAGCTGAGTTATATCTGCAGAAAAGAAAATTTAATAGCAGGATGATATCTGCTCTTTGGGGGGTAAACTGTACAACCCCACACGATGAGAGTAACAACAGTGGATCACAATGATCAGCCCCTGTAGGAAAAAAAATGAAAAACGTAATGTGTCACTTTGGACTCTCTGCCAAATTTCTGTCAGCCTTAAAGAATGGTATGCCAGCAGCAGCAAGCAGTGGAGACTAAATGGGAAGTGGTTGTTATGGGAAACCATCCATCTGACCGACACAGACTTACAAACTGTTGTTGTTTTTGATTCTCGCAGCTCAATGGTGTCACTCCCGGCCAAGGTGTGGGCATCGAGCTCCTGGCAACCTTCCAGTTGGTGCTGTGTGTCATTGCAGTCACTGATAAAAGGCGGCGTGATGTCAGCGGCTCAGCACCCTTGGCCATTGGCCTCTCGGTCTGCCTTGGACACTTGGCTGCGGTAAGTTGCAACTATACCCAACGCAGTGTAATGCTTATCTCAGATTATGCACAGCACATTTGAGCAATGCAAACAAACAGCAGATATGTTGGAGCTCTTAGAGGGATAGAATTTCATGCTTTTTTTATACTGTTTAAGGTTGAACCCACTCGCCCCTGCCAGTTTCTATTGAACCAGCAGACCATGTAGCTGAAGATATCCTCTTATGTTTTCTTCTCTGTTGCTGATTACAGATCAGCTACACAGGCTGTGGCATCAATCCCGCTCGCTCTTTTGGTCCGGCTTTGATCCTGAGCGATTTCACAAACCACTGGGTAAGTCAGGGGAGAGGGAGGCTCACATTTTTTTCTGCATGCATATCACATGTGGTGCTTAAATAATAATTTAATAAGCATAACTGCCAGATGACTCACTAGTTAATTCTATTGACTTTGAATTAGCTTGCCTCAAACATTGACAGACATTCTAACTGTGAAACAAAGGCCAGAGATTGATCAAAGTTATCCATTGCAGGTGTACTGGGTTGGGCCGATGTGTGGCGGAGTAGCAGCAGCCCTTATTTACGACTTCCTGCTGTCTCCAAAATTTGATGACTTCCCCGAGCGCGTAAAGGTCCTTGTCAGTGGCCCAGTCGGCGACTATGACGTCAACGGAGGCAATGACACTACAACTGTGGAAATGTCGTCAAAATAGTGTCAATACAGCACCAGTCAGTTAGTTCTACTGAATATGTTTATACTATTGTAAAAAGAAAATGCGCTTGAATATAGTTTAGTGTTTTGTGCTATTTTGAAATATACATGAGGATTGCAGTAGAGGGTCAGCAAATGTCTTTTTCTAACTCACTCCACAAAAATGTTCTTCCCTTTCTTTATCAGTATTCAAGAATGAGCCATGTTTTTGTATACTTTATCTGCCTGTCACTTTTTTTCTGATGGATGAAGTATTGTATGTACCCCTAAAATGTCTCTCACTTTTTTAAGTAAATAAAACACTTGTTGTTAACAAATGTCGCTTGATGTGTTTTCTTGTTATTTAGCCACAACATGTCAATGTTTTAATCTCCAAAGACATTGGACATTTATCTTTTCCTAAATCATTGAAAACTCTCTCTTGAACTATAGTGTGGCAGCACTATGTATCTTTAAAAGTGATTTGTTTAAGAGACAAATATGTTGAGTGTGTTTGTTTTTTAACATTTGCTCAAGATCTTTGTTCAAGATCTTTGTTTGTTGTTCAAGATTTGTGCCACATTTAAAAACAAAAAAAGTTGACCAAAGTGCATTAAAATCAACTTAATAAAACACTAAGGCCAATTTAAAGACGATTGGACATAAAATAGTAAGAAGTGTTTACACTAACACTAAAGAAAAGGAATTCATTGTGTTTTAGGTTTGATTTAAAACAGGCAGTGTGGGGCGCTGGTGGCGCAGTGGTTAGTGTGCGCGCCAGGTTCAAATCCCACCTGTGGCTCCTTTCCCGCACGTCATACCCCACTCTCTCTCTCCCTGACTTCAAACTCTATCCAGTGTCCAAAAAGCCCAAAAATAAATCTTTAAAAAGACAATAAAACAGGCAGTGTGGGGGAGAAAGCTGAACATGTTGGGGCAGAGGGTTCCATTGCTTTGGAGCTGCCACTGAAAAGACTCAGTCACTCCTGAGCTTCAGCTTTTACCACGAGACCGCCAGAAGCAACTGGTCTGTATCTGAGTGTCCTTGATAAAAGATGTGCTTTTAAAAGATCTCAAGGCTAGGTTGGAGCTAGCCCATTTAATGGTTTAAATGTTGAAAATAACATCTTAAAAAGTAATCCTGGAAACACATGGTGGGCAAGTGATTAGAGGCCAGAATAGGGGAGATGTGCTCACAATACTTTTACCAGTAAAAAGGCAAGGAGCACCATTATAGCATTATGAACCAACCAAGGAGAGTAAGATTCTTGGCTCAAGTCAAAGTCAAGTGCATTACAATAGTTGAGACTGGAGGGGTGTTTCAAATTTAAATTCAAATTCAAATCCAAATTCACTCAAAAAACTTAATTTGTCCCTGGGGGGCAATTTAAAGGCACACAGAGCAGTAAATTAACAACAGTGCAGGTAGACGAAGACCTAACATATAAGGTGTCAATTTAAATATAACTTAAAGCTTAAACTTAACTTAAAATACAAAATAAATAAAAAGAGTAGATATAAGTGGACAGTGATTGGAACAGATGTATACAGAACTATATGTAGTAGTGAACAGATGTAAACAGATTTTTGTGGAAGACATACATGCGTGTGGTAAGCATAGCAATGGAAAGACACATTAACTTTACAGTATAGATCAATGATCAACCCTGTATCGCTGAATATGGCATTTCCACTGGTGTCAACTTAAGTTACGAGAAAAAACAAAAAGCATGGTCAACTCTTTGACACCTTACAAATATTAGGCACTCAGTCATTCTTGCAATTTTCTTTTTTTTCCGTACCACCTAGCTGTCTTAGCTGATTGATAGATAGCTGCCCTCGCTCATGTTTTCATCAGGGGAAGCACCAGATGGCAGCCTGCCAGGCTGATGAGAGTTCCTCCCCGGTTGTAAAGAAGAAGCGTACAGGGGATTTTTATGAATTGCCCTTTCTCTGATTCCAGGAAAAGTTTTATGTTAAGTATAAAACCCATTATGGCTCAGATTGCTTACGCTATAGACGGAGACATTTGGCCTTAGTAGGGTTTTTGGAGGTCTGACCATGAGGCAAACTTGTAGGGCACTTGAGCTGAAGTAGAGTGTGCCCACAGACGTGTTCAATTTGGCCATGAACATATCCTTTTTCAGCAAAGGTTTTTGGTAGAAATTAAGAGCAAAGACACCATGAACAGTCACCCTCTTTGCAACAGCACTTAGATACCTCTTCTGAAACAGTAATTGGAGCAACAACAAAAAAACTCCAGAAAACACAATCATATACATGCAGGACACCTGCATATTTATTTCAGGCTTCATTACAGCTATATTGCTTCAAGTGGCTTTGAATGTAATATAAGAAAGATCATCATTGGTCATGGAACAGATGGCTCATTTATAAGATCCAGCCTTGCATGGTAAAAAGCAGCAGTCCTCAATTCTTTTGAATGGAGCCAGGCTGGTGAGGAAGCAGGAGTAAAAATCTTGTGCTGCAGCAAAAGAAATAAAAATAAAATAACTCAGGCTTTTCCACCCAAATTGTTGAATCTGGCTTGGCGTTTGTTATAAAGCAACATGACGTAACCTGGAGAGACTTTGCAGTGGCTGATCAAATATGTGCAAGAAAAAATTCTTTGTGGCTTTATTTCTACATTTACCTTAAAATATGGGCCAAAAGATAAACTACTGCCTTTATGATATCGTTCCGTAAGTGTAAACCTGGTGTCAGAGTGACCTACTTTGCAGTGTTTTATAAGCATTCAAACTTGGTAATCAGAGATAAGAATGAGAACTCAGACTGTTTCTAACACGATGTTTTTCTGCTGCTCTTTCTGTTTTTGCACGACATATGATTTTCATTTATTTTAAGCAACAGTGAGGTACAAGCCTTTGATGTTTCAAGTACCGTTTAACTCCGCCTAACAGACAAGCGTACATATTGATTATATACTTGACTTGCTCCCATTTCTGCATGGTTGAATTCTGTGTTCATCCTATAATCTCTGAGGGCCAGAACACAATAACAATCCTCTCAGGGCTTCTTCAGAACACCTGCATCTGGATGTTATTTATATCTCGAGATGACGAACAGCATTTGTGTCCTATTTACATGTAAAAGCCAGGGGAGTGAACATCACTGATGAGAGGATGACTTTATCCCAACGTTTTTGTATACATTAAATCCTCATAAACCAGGAAGAATTTGGTCAATTGAAACCATCATTCTGTCTGACCAGCTGATAGGACAAAGACATTGATTCAACAAAGCTTTTTAATTAGTCGAAACATTAGTAAACGTCCCTGAGTGAAGAATGAGTAATCAGACATTTGAAACATTTAACAAAATACTGTTATTATGATGTAAAACTACTTAATTGAAATATATTTGGTAAATAACATCAGATAACTTAGCATTCAACACAGGAACACTGGATTTAAACACGAATAATGTATTTTCATTGCATGTTTAGCTGACTTTTTTTTAACCTGCTCACAGAGCTCAAAGCGCTCACAGCTCTCAGTTGAAAATTGTGTAACTTTTGGAACAGCCCCAAGGTCACTTCTTCCTCAACGTCCAATCGATATCAGGAAGGGCCGCAACCTGTGGGCTTTGTCAACAACGATGGCGGAGAAGAAACTAATCTGGCTCGTCTGTTCGAGGGAACAATTTCCAGGTCGATAGGGCTGCTGCTAATGCCAGGACAATATTCATTTTCATTGTTTTAATGTTTTCTTGGCTGTTTATCCTTGAATGAAGGCAAATATTATGCACATGGAGCAATCTGAAACACACCTAATGGTCACTACCAAAGGAAGTGGTAGTTGGCTAGGAACTTCCGTAACCTAGCAACAATAAGCGCCGGTGAGAAGCACTCTGAAACTGGGGGTGTGAGTGCTGCCAGGGCAAAAAAGGGACATAGTGGACAAAGGCCCAGACACTGTTTTCATCACAAAAGGAAAGCCAAAAGGAAGAAATGTGTCTTCTGTTTTAAACATTAAAGAGTGAAGGTGGTGAGCTGTTCCATTGGTTAGGGGCAGATACTGTGAAGACTCAATCAGCCCTCACAGACATCAAGGAGCAGCGGATTGTTTGACCTTAGAGCTCCAGCTGGAGTATGGACATGAAGAAGTTCGGCTAGATAAGGTGGTGCCAAATGAAGCCAAAATACCCTCCTCAATAGAAGCTGATATGAATGGAGTCATTTTAACCCAGAGTCTGTGCAGTAGGGATTGGCTCGTGGAGCCATGGTACTGCTGTCCCACCCCGTCAGCTAACCAAAACACACATTTTACTAACAGATAAAACGGCAGAAATCCAGAATTAAAAGGACGCTTAATAGAAAAATTAACACACGGACAGAAATCAACTTGATGGGAACTAACTTAAATGACAGAAACCATGTTCTATTAACTATATCTGACGTGTATTTAGATTTTATAGATTGACCCATGTCTGACCCCCTCTGTTTGAACAGAGGAGGCGGGCTATTGACCAAAGCTGCAGCCACTCAGTAGGAGAGGAGCGCCTAATTTTTTTTTGGCTTCATTTCGTAGAGCTGTCATGTCGTCCACCTTTCTATACAGTCTATTAGGGCTTTCACACTTGCAGAAATCTCCTGAAAAAATTAAGGTTATATCCCAGAGAAGCCGTATATATGAACGCAAACAGCCAATTGCTAGCCATAAGCGTGATTGACTTGTAGCATTTAAGAATCATTTAACTTTTTACTGTTGACTTTTTATGTGTTTTTTTCAATGTCAATCCCTATTGGACGTTTTTGTTGTTGTTACATTTTCTGACTTATAACTGTGGCTGATAATTATCCTTTAGCTCCCTTTCAATTAGTCAACTGATGCAGAATAGATCACATCCTGAGTGTACATCTTGTGCAGAGCTGAGGTTTTTGCGTCAAGGCTCTGACCTCTTCACTCTCTGAAAGAGGAAAGTCTGAGCTGAGGGCACACACAGACACAAACACACACACACACATACACACACACACACACCCCACACTAGACTCAGAGCTTACATGTGTGTGAAGGGGCGGAAGGCAACAGCATAGAGACATTATCAGACGTGCACGTACCATGAGTTGATATCCAACAAATGAAAAGTGAAGGATTTGCAGGGCCCAGAAAGCTGGTCTCCCTCATGGGATTAGAAATCATATATTTACTGTCAGTTTCTCTCTCTTTTCATATGTTTTATTGTATGCATTTTTATTACTACTCCTCTTTCTTTTAGAAATAAATCCTACAACATCTGAATTATGTTATCATCAGTCATCTCATCTTAACTACAAATATTATGGAGTCAAAACTGCAATATATATCCCTATACTATGCTCTGAAATGTTTCAAACAGGCTCTAACAAATCTCTGACAGAGGATTTAAACAGTGTTATAATTTGGAAAGAGAAATAAATGATAGATAGAGATATTTGCTGTAGCTGTGCAAGTAAAGCAACATTTCTCTGATAAAAGTGAAAGAGTTAACTCTTGTCAGAGTTAAAGGTGATTCTTTGCAGTCTTATCCTTTTTTATACCAATTGACAAGAAGACCAGGAGCAGCGTGCCCTTTTGACCTCTTTGTCCGTTCACACAGAAAAAAAATAGTAGAATCGGAGGCTGGTTTCCTTGTTGTGAATTCAAAAGGTCCCATATCCTTCTCACTGGCATGCTGCTGATGTTCACTTCAATGTGGCCAGCTCTGTGTGACACAGGCTCAGAATAGAAGAAGAAGAAGATTTAAAGATAGGGATTCACAAAGAGCTTCTAAATGTAATGGGGAGTGAGTGTCCTTCACATATCTGATGGATGTTCGTCAGACCTTTATTATCTCATGTGCCTGGATAAAAGCCAACTTATATTGAAAGGGTTTTATAAATTTAGTATGCATTGCATTTGATTAAAGTCCTGAACATTTTGGAAGAAAACCATACTTTCAATTACATTACAGCGGTAATAATAAAAAATGTACATTTACATTTGGCTTGAGCATGGGTTATGTCATGCATGCAAACTGCTGATGGCTGCAGGTTTTGTATGTACATATTCTAAAACTTTGCTCTTTTTCTGATAATTCAAAAAGGGTTCAGGTCATTTAACTCTTTATGTGAAGAGGTTTTCTATGTCATTTCCTCTTTCGTTGTTATGGTGTTAAATGAGTTGTGAACAAGCAGCACCGCCTTCTGTTAAACTGGAAAAGCACTAACAGAGCATGCGACATGGAGGTCATGTGTGTCTCTCATCTGCTTCTAATCAGGCCTGATTATTTAAACACACACACAGCATTACTGATGTTTTCAAATTGGCTGCAGGTGAAACCACATCCCTGCCTTAGCAACAATCTTTGGTCAGCAGGCTGCCCAAAAATCTGCCTCTGTGACTTGAGTCTGACACTTTCCAGGTAGTCATGTCAGAAATCAGAATGTGGGCATTTTGGAGGGCAATCCTGGCCGAGCTCGTGGGAATGACCATTTTTGTCTTCATCGGCCTCTCAGCCGCAAAAATAACTCTAACCCTGACCAGGAGATAAAAGTAGCTTTAGCATTCGGCTTAGCATTTGCCACACTAGCTCAGTGTACAGGTCACGTTAGCGGCGCCCACCTGAGTCCTGCAATCACCCTGGGCCTGCTGGCCAGCTGCCAGATGAGCATCGTCAGAGCCGTTTTTTACGTAACCGCTCAGATGTTGGGAGCAGTGGCTGGCAGTGCCATTGTGTATGGTATCAAACCTCAAACAACAGATTCACTCAGTGTTAATAAGGTATGGTGGAGTCAATGTGTGTCCAATTTTCCTGAGTAATGTTTTCATTAATGAACTACATGTACTGCTCAGGCTGAGTGACATTTGGGGAATTGGCTGACTACTTTCTTTGTGAAAATTAAAAAGCTCACGGTCCCAAATTTGTGTGTCAGATTTTCATTATCACTTCTTGTTTGCTGCATGCAACAAAGACAGACCTTTTATCAGGATGTGTATGCATTTTCTGCAGAAAGAATCAGTCAGGCAGCTGAATTCTTAGAGCATCATCTGATAGTTTTCCTTAACATGATAAGTTTCCTGTTAGATATTTGGGCTTCTTTATTCAAGAGTCAGGCAATAATAGTTGCTTGAAGTATGATGTGTTTGTACAGAAAGCAGCATAGTAAGTTTCATGTTTAGATATTTTTTAATAATTGTTTAATGCTAAAGTGGGTGCAGAATGATCCCCAAATCATCATCATAAACTGTTCATCCATAGAAAATAAGAAGCAGTGTGTTTTCTCTTCTTTTGCAGCTAAATGGAATCAGCCCAGGTCAAGGATTCAGTGTAGAATTCCTGCTCACACTTCAACTTGTCCTGTGTGTTCTTGCTGTCATGGACAAAAGGCGAGGTGTAAATGGATTTGCACCTCTTGCCATCGGACTGTCAGTTGGGCTGGGACATCTTGCAGGAGTGAATGTGTATACTGTATGTTAAAAAGATTTCCGCCCTCCTTAATTTGGAAAATGGTTTCTCCATCTCATTGGAACCAGATACAATGGATTGGCATGGGATGAACTGGCTGTAAATCAGGTCTGTGTGTAATCTGCTGATGCATAGCCAGAAATGTAAGTGGTGTTTTCCTTTCCTCTGGTTTACAGATCAGCTACACAGGATGCGGAATCAACCCGGCCTGGTCGTTTGGGCCTGCAGTCATAAACAGGTCCTTTGAGAATCATTGAGTATGGATTTTAAGACTTAAAATCCAATATTTTCCCAGTTTTGGAATACAAAATGAGTCCTGTTACTTTGTTCTTCAGCTTACTTAAGCTTCTGTTGTGGCTCCATGATGGAAAGTGAAATTCATGAGCCACTTCTCAAGGAGGTTAAAGACTGGCAAAAAGGAGCCAGTCTGAGTGCAAAGTATTTCTTTATACTGCTGTTTTTGTTCTGAGTAAAACACTTCCTCAAAAGAAGGAGTTCCATCTTTTCTCTGACGCTCAAATGTGTGACCTGAAAATTGGTGCAGCATATCTTTTTCCTGCTTCATCTCTTCTCTCCTCCCCTCTGCACACAAAACCCCTTGACTATAAATACTAAAGCCACCTAATTATTGGGTTAACACTGCAGACACATTTTGCAGCAGACATGAGAGAAATAAAAAGCTGGCCGTTTTGGAGGGCTGTGGCTGCAGAGTTTGTTGGCATGTTGCTCTTCATCTTTATTGGCTTATTGGCCATTGTTGGAAAACCTTCCCAGCCTGTTGTTCAGGAGCTGAAGGTCTCGCTGGCCTTTGCTCTGGCCATTGCCACGTTAGCTCAGAGTTTGGGGCACATCAGCGGGGCACACTTGAACCCTGCAGTCACTCTTGGCCTGCTGGTCAGCAGCCAGATCAGTGTTCTCAGATGTGTTGGTTACATCCTGGCTCAGATGCTCGGGGCAGTTGCAGCTAGCGCCATTGTGAATGGATTTAATAGCAGTGGACCTCTTGGTGTTAACGGTGTAAGAAGTCATCCTTGTGACAGTAGACCTTTCAAAAAACTTGAGATAATCTAGGGTATATATTCAATTTTTTTAAATGATTTCGCTGTTTTGTGTTTCTCTTGCAGCTTTCCGTGAATGTGTCTGTAGGACAAGGCTTCATCATTGAGTTCCTTGCCACCCTTCAGCTTGTCCTGTGTGTGATAGCAGTGACCGATAAGCGACGCAAGGATGTCACAGGCTCTGCACCGCTGGCTATCGGTCTGTCAGTGGGCCTTGGACACTTTGCTGCTGTAAGTAAATCACATTCCTACAATACTACAAAATCTGAAAGGTGATTAAAGTAATTTAGGGAGGACACAATAGAGGCACTCTTAATTACAACAGTCTTTGCAGTAAATGACCATTTACAGGAGGTTTCTCTGTCAGATTTTTTTTTAAACTGTCAAAGGTGTTGGTTGGTATTTTTTTAGGCAATTTTAACTATTTTCAATAGAAATGCTGTTTAGTTAAGGGTGTATTTAAAGACCACTCTTCCTCGTTGAAAATACAATCTTCCTCTTTGGCAGGAATGGTCATGATTCAATACTTTTCCGCCATGTCTTGTTGAATAATTTTGCAACTTGTGCGTCTGATGCCACACACTAGTAGGTGTTCAGGAGCAGCTAAGACAACTGCAATGATGGCTATGCATGTTAAATGTCACTTTTGTATTTTTCTGGCAAATTGCAGAGTTACAGATGGGAAACAGCCTTCATTTATTCCGCAATAATTGTTTAATACAAGGTAGCCATGACAGGAATTTTCAAAATCATGCTAAAAATGTTCGCTATCACGTGAAACACAACACAGGGAAACTCCAATTAAACCAATGCTAACAATGAGATTCAAAAAAAGTTTTATCAGTTTAAAAATCCGAATATGAACACATTTTGCATGTCAACAATTGTAATACATTTTACTGTATTGTATTATTACCTTGGGAATCAGGGATCTACCAAAATAATAATTTGTACATTAATGTGTGAACTACACCCCACACCCCGAATGTATATAAATGACTTTATTCTTAATATAATTCTTAATATGTATTCTTAACTTAATAATTGCTTTTGCAATTACAGATAAGTTTCACTGGATGTGGCATCAATCCTGCTCGCTCTTTTGGACCTGCTTTAATAAAGAGTACAATGGAGAACCACTGGGTAAGGTCAACACTCTAACTAATCTCCTCTAACTTCATATTTCAGTTTGTAAAAGGTGAATGTTGCTGATTTCTGCTTTCATACCAGGTGTACTGGCTGGGGCCTATGTGTGGAGGCATAGCAGCATCTCTTATCTATGACTTTGTCCTGTATCCACGAACAAACACCCTGAGAAGTCGCAGGAACGTCCTGCTTCATGGTCCGGAAGATGAAAATGATGTCGCTGAAATAATTGAAGGAGGCAACAGCAACCCCGGGCCAAGTCAATGGCCAAAACAATGAACAACATGCGACTTTTGATATTTTCTACCTTCTTTGAACACGATTTATTTGACAGATATGCTTTAAATAAATATGGACATTTTTGTGTTTATTTTTATACCAGTGAATACTTAATAAATCATTCTTTTCATCCAGTTTCAGGGCTTTTGTCTCAAACATTTTTTTAAATGTCATAGGTCATTGTAAGGATGTAATATCTGTCTTTACATTGTGTATTTACTTAAATAACACAATGTATAGTTCGACCTGCTTGACCTTGACATGAGTTTCTTTATAATTCATCACTTCACAGTATAAAATATTATCCTATTCAAGGTGTTTGGCGACAATCCCAAAAGTCTTTTTGTAGCCAAACAACACAAGGATGTGGATCAGGTAATTGCACATAAAAGCATTTTGTCAATCAGACAAGATGTGGCCATCATGGATATTTCCTGTTTGGCGAATGTCCTCTCGATCTACGCACACAGCCCCTCTCACATCCCGTTTTATGGTTTATGGGTATTTGATGATCCTCCACACCCTGGGCTAAAAATTGAATAACCATCGAGTGGCTTTAAACCCAACATTTCTCAACAGTCCCCTGTGGTCTGAGCGCAGACCAGCCAAGGTCATTTAAGTAGATGCGAGTTATTGTTGACTTAAGAACCAATCAGGGGGCAGGATGTGCTGTGTAAGGATGCATGTCCTCTGTCCCTTAAAGGAGGAATAATGCTCTTGTGTGTGGATCGGCAACCTCACAAACCTACTTTATTTTTGATAAATTCATGAATGGGGCATAGCTCTGCTGATGGCTTTATCTCCCTTATATGACATGACACTTCTTCACATGCTTTTTTATGGTGGAATTTCAGAGGCCGGCCATGTGACGGGCAGCCAATCTAAAATCTCTTTCCTTTGTGTGCATAACCTCCGAGGTCAGAGCATTGTGTTTAGCCTCTTGTTTTGAAGTTTGTCCTCAACAACATGGACAATGCTCTTTTTGTTTCCCCTTATTCATTTTGTCTGAAACTGTCCTTCATCAAATGATTTGGCTCTCATGTTGAGCTTGATTATTCCCTGACTTGGCATGGGAGAGTTTTCAGTGGACCTCTCATTATACTAATTTAGACAAAATAAACAACTGGGAATAAAGGGCCTAACCTGATCTCAAACTTATCCATATTCCATATAACCCAAAATATGGTCTATACATCTAACGAACATCATCCCTTTACAAAGTATAGAAAAACATAAAGATAAGAAAGTAATCTTCTCTTTCTACTCCCAATTTTTGTGTGTGTGTATGCAATTTGGCTGTCGATAATTTCACTACAGAAAGTTTTAAGTCAAACTTTCTAAATTAGAATATGTAGGCACACAACACATAAATACCATCCTTACACACATAAAAAAGCAGCTGAACTGAAAAAGGGGGTTCAGAAAAGAGGTTTGACACCACTCAACTTTATACATAAAGTATATTTGATTGTACTGTGTTACCCCAAACCCCCTAAACAAACACATTATTCCACCTGTTGCAGTAAAGATTCACTAGCAGAGCAAGCATGTATTGATCCACGACTGAAAATAATCCCAAACAAATGCACTATTAACTTCTGTTCCAGTAATATTTGCTTTAAGCTACAGTGCTAAGCTGTTGAGCCTTTTTAAAGTGTTAGTTAGAACGTAGAGACAGACTAACAGATTGTTAGGTTTGGACTATTTAAGAGATTAAAAGTCAAAAATAGATAAATGGAAACACCTGCATTTACAATGGGGGATAGAGCGACCTCATTAGAACCCAATAGACATATAAAGTAACAACTCCAACTATTTAGGACTTGCCTTTAACCTTAACCTTTAAGTAAAGCAAACCCCCCACCTCCCCACCCCTCAGCTCTCTTCAGCCTGTCTCCACATACTGACTGATGCAGGGTCTTTATCTGCAGCCTACGCGCCCTGCTCACTCCCTTTCTGCTTTTCATCAGCTTTTGGCAAAGATTCAATAAACGTTGGGTCTGACAGGGAGACTGTGGGGGGGGTTTGGGGTAGGTTGGGGGGGGGGGGTGACACAGATATCTGTTTAACTGTGAGAAAAACTCTACATATGAGAAACAAGGTGCCAATCTAAACTGCAGAGTGAAACAGTTTTTACTTCTCCTTTTTGTGACCATTGCAACCAGACAGTTGTCATGAAAATCCCTCCTCAGCTCTTTCCAGATGACACTCCTGGCCTACATTTTCACAACTTTATTGTTATTCTATGATCATCAGCAAAACATCTTTATGATCTGTTAACTGCCTTTGTAACTGCAGGGCTGTAGATACTTCTTAAAGCATGCCGCTGAATGGTTCCACTTAAGGAACTACTTCAGACGTCCTGACCGAACTACTAGCACAGATCAAAACAGGTCACAGTGTTCACATTGGTTATTGCCAAAGTTGAATACTGTATGCATAATACTGATGTTTAACTCACCAGCAAAATTCAAATCAATGTATTTACTCTCCACATGATTAACAGATATTTTACAGCTAAGAATAATCACTGAAACAGTCATATTTTGTTCTTATTTTTATTGTTTCTGGTGTAGTTAAAATTGTGTTTACATTGACATTTTTTAATAAGGTGTTAAAAACTGATTCTGTGTCTAATAAAAACAGGCATTTTTTGTAAAATCATGCAGATGTTATCATCAGGAAGGGGTGGATTTCAAGTTGTTCCTGCCATGGGCACAGGTCTTATAAAAACAGGCTCCAACTAAATCAACAAAATGATGATTTAATCAACTAAGCACATGTCTGTGTTAAATGTGTTTGAAAAAACACACAGATCACACAGGCCCTTTAATGATTAACGTTACGATTTAATGCTCCATTGGTTTTAATGTTCTGTGTGACACTGTTGAACAGTCAGTCTACTGGAAGCATTCAAGCCCTGCAGCTCAGTAGTTTGAATTCAAACTTTTATGTTCATAACACACACATGCAGACACAGAAGGCAAAAAAAAACACTCGTCTGACTGTTGTGACCTCTGTTGAGCTAGAAATGGTAGAAACTTGGATGCCCTGTGCACAGATAATGTCAGTCCTTATATACTGGTGCATGTGATGGAAGGACACATCATCTTGACAGAAAATGAGGAGATTCACCCCACACAAGAAGGCTGGATAACTTTTTCATTTAATAACATTCTCAAACAAACAACACGTTTTGCCCGCATGGCTTCATCTGCAAGAAATGACTTTAGCCCTGTCCCTTTACTGGAGGTGTTGGTGACAGGGACACACACTACATGATCAACAAACCATGAGTCTAAATATGTTTTTCATATTATTTTGAAAACAAATCTATGAAGCAACACAATTAAATAGAAAGCAATACATAGTCAGCAGAGTTGTATGTACAACGCTGCATTTTTTTGTAAAATCATGCAGAGGTTATCATCAGGAAGGGGTGGATTTCAAGTTGTTCCTGCCATGGGCACAGGTCTTCCACACTAATACACGTACACCAACTTACACAGCTACCAGTTCTTATTCATTGTGTCCAAACAGAGCTGTGATCTGACAGCTCCTGTGGAAGACAAAAATAGTGTGCAACACCGCCACCCTCTGGTCTGAACTGGGTCAACCGCTGCATGAGGACAATTAGTAATGGAGTAAAATAAAATAAAAACTGAGTTGAGTTAGTAAAAGCATTGCAATATATTCTCATCCTGATATGAGAATGAACCACTAAGTTACAACAGCTGGGTAATCTTCCATTTAACTATCGGACATGTTTAACTGTGCCTCAATAATATCCCTTTAGCAAAGTGTGATAGGCTCTCATTTGTCCCCTTCAGGCTAATTAACGTGTCTTGTTTTGTAACTAAGGCCTCGTCCTTTTTTCACGCAGTTTTTAAACCCATTCACACAGAAAGCTTTCTCAGTTTTTACAATTACACCAGACCACAAACTATTTGCTGCTGTGTTTGACCGGTTTGACCGTGGTTTCATTTTTTTTTTTTTTAGAAAACACAAAATCAAATGTATTAATACAAGCCCATGTATATTGCAATATATGTCGTTACATGTATGCCAAGAAAGAATTAAAACTTGCATTGTTTGATGTTATTTGAGAGTTGTGAACATCTGAGCACAGAGTAAAAATAAATAAATAAATAAAGATAGTTGCAGACGAAGATTTTAAACAAATAAAAACAAAGAAACGTTTAATATATAAAATGAATATGTATATAATTGAATGAAATTAATCCACCCCCCCACCGCAGAAGAAACCGGATGAGGTTTAGCGCCACTTCCGGTTTCAACGACGTAAAGATGTCGCCGACCTTATTCAATTTTGTCGACGCTAAAAACACATTTACGGTGAGATATCTGTTCCGCCTTTAATGCATTTATTATTTATATATATATATACACATATGTATAGCACATGTAGTACTTTTACTGATAGTCAGACAACAGGCATGCTAGTGTTTGCTTTTCACTGTCGTATTGCTTTCATACAAAGTAGCAACTGCGAGCTAAGCTAACAAACACGCTATCTTCATACATGTTGTGTTTATTCCTCACACATGTTGTCTTTTCCCCTCACACACCACAGGCGTCTGCCAGACATGCTCTAGCTGGTAAAACCGGCAAACATTTGGTGAATGCTTTTAACCAGATCTCTGGAAAGTAAGTGATTCATGAGTGGTTAATATGTATTTATTATGAACACACACGACACGAGTGATGTTGTTTTCCCCTGAACACCAATCCGTGTTTTAACTCATCCACAGTGAGACAGAGAAGAAAACCACACTTGACCAGGCGCTGAGGGGGGTTCTGGGTGATCAGATTGTAAGTAAATTAAAGTCACACACTGTTTTTTTATCGTGTAAACAAACTTCAGCACATTTTCCAGGTCTGTCTACGTGAAGCTTGACTTTGGTGCTCTGTGATTTCAGATAGAGCAAAAAACCAGCTGTGATGACTACTTGTCCCTCATCTACCTGAGCATTGATGCAGTTACAGAAGGTATGTGTCATTTGACTGGTAGGTAATTACACTGAAACCTACGTATACTTCTAATGTGTACTCCTGATAGTGTCCTGTCTTTGCTCTCCTTATGATCATGGTTTCCTGGTGTATTATGACTACA